CCATCCTAGTATTCCCCCTCCTTCCCCCCATCACATCGAATATATAAGGAAGGGGAGGAAGAGGGGGGTATTAATTTCCTGAAGTATGTAAATATATTTTTCTAGCCGTTTCGTTAACAGTTAATTCCCAACGTAAAAAATTTCAGTTAGCCGTTAATTTTAAAGGTAAGAACGGAACGTTCGTTCCGTTAACGGCATTTTCCGTTTTTATCAAATTACCATTAGTTAAGTGCTTAAATTGTATTAATAACGTTAACAGAAAAATCCAAAAACCATTAACGGCTCAAGTCGTTAAAGGTATAATATATCATTACGGCGTGAGCACCGAAAAAAATCGTTAACTGTTTAAGAAATTGTAAACGGCTTTGCCGTTAACGGTTAATTACAGTATTAACGGTTTAAGAAATCGTTAACATTAAACAGAAAAAAGTGAAATAACGAAATTAACCTTTTGTTGACGTTTTTAACCGTTAATTTTTTTATAGAAAACGGCTAATCCGTTTTATTGATTGTATGTATTTATTACAGGACCATGTTGGAGAAATAATAAAAAAGTGGGAATCTATTGATGATGAGATCTGGGCTAAAGCAATTGTTATGGAGAGAAACAGAAGAGTAGCAAAGGTAAAATTAAATATTATTTATTAACAAAATTTAAAAGATCAAACACTTGTTGAAGAAAATAAACAAACAAACTTCTCATAATGATTTGAAAACAATAAACTGTAATACTGCAGAAAAATATAAAATATATGCATCTACAAATTTGTACTTTTAATTTTTGAATTTGTACTTTTGTACTTTTATACTTTTAATTTTTGAATTTGATACTATTTATAAAGTAAATAACATTCTAAGACTTTACCGCTAATTCTGTAGATGGATTAAAACTTAATTTCTTTATGGCAAATTTTGTTCTAGATTATTCTCGGAGGTTCCACAAAAATTTTTTGGCCCAATGGGTTCAGCCGTTTTGACAATTTTTGGAAACAACAAACAAATAGACACCAGACAGACATACAGGGGGGGAAACATAATTACAAACAGGAATAAACACAAACTGGCAATAAATCATATTCTGAAATAGTTTTCATTAAAACAAAAACATTTTAATCTACGTGAGGACTCAGGGCATCCTGCCATAAATAAATAAGTATATCCCTTGATTAATTCCCCAAATGCCATGGGAAGTAATAAATAAACAAATTTAAATTATGTAGAAGAAGTGCCTTTACGCGGAGGGTGTCCCGGTTGGTGAATAGTTTTGAATGTCTTTTTTCCATATACTGTATTAGATAGATATTGACTTTTTGCAGTTTATTTCGTAAAAAAAGTTTTTACTTTAAAATAAAATTTTACTCTAATATGGCTGCATATAATATTTTTTATTATTTTTGGTATCAAACAACGATTTTCAAACTATTATCAAACAGTCATGTTTCATGGGACACCCTGTATGGAAAGCAGAGTGTGTCACTGTGAATATGGCTTATTTGATTCATCTTAGTTCCTGAGAATTGTAAAATATTGTCGTATTTCTTAGTTCACAAGAACTATATATTCTATTTATAAATATTTGATTCATCTTAGTTCCTGAGAATTGTAAAATATTCTCGTATTTCTTAATTCACAAGAACTATATATACTATTTATAGATATTTGATTCATCTTAGTTCCTAAGAATTGTAAAATATTCTCGTATTTCTTAGTTCACAAGAACTATATATACAATTTATAAGTATTTGATTCATCTTAGTTCCTAAGAATTGTAAAATATTCTCGTATTTCTTAGTTCACAAGAACTATATATACTATTTATAAATATTTGATTCATCTTAGTTCCTGAGAATTGCAAAATATTCTCGTATTTCTTAGTTCACAAGAACTATATATACAATTTATAAATATTTGATTCATCTTAGTTCCTAAGAATTGTAAAATATTCTCGTATTTCTTAATTCACAAGAGCTATATATACTATTTATAAATATTTGAATGCATAAAAACCATCAAATTCGAATCAGTTGAATGGAGTTGATGATCATTAATAAAGATGAAAAACGAGTTTAACTTTTATTTACTTCAGTGGCAACGAGTTTAACTTTTATTTACTTCAGTGGCAATTTTTTCCTGTTTTAACACTTTTCTCTTTAAACTTAAAACCATCAAATTTCCCCAATTAAGATTTTCCAGCTAAAAAAGAAATTATTTTTGAACAGAAAGAATTTATTTTGTTATCAAGATACATAAAGGAACAAATCGCAAAATGTAAACTGTAAATTAATTCATAACTAAAACCGTCGTTTTTCCATGTTTATTGGGGTTTCCTGTATAATGATGATGATTAAAAAATACTGTGAATGACAATCCTTGCACCGATCTGATTATTTGCTAGCGGAGTCTAATTATAATATAAAGAAGTCGTGTCTTAAACTTGTATTTCCTAGCTACGCCTTCAATATGTCAGATTTAAAGGGATTGTGCACTTGTATTTCCTAGCTACGCCTTCAATATGTCAGATTTAAAGGGAGTGTACACTTGTATTTCCTACGCCTTCAATATGTCAGATTGAAAGGGATTGTGCACGTTTTTTGCATTTTTATTTAAAGTGATTGTTTACCTATTCTCAGATACGCATATAGTTTATACATCTATAAATATAAAGTTGTAATCTCTGTTGTCTGTCTGCCTGTCTGTCCGATCATAACCCAGGAGCTCCTGAACTGATTTGCTTCAAATTTTGATTGGGGACTCGGGAGACTCACAGGAATGTTATCTTGGTTTTGAGATTCTAAGATTAGTGGGTCGACTTTAATTTTGTTTCCCGGTAAAATCGTTCAAGTGCGGGTAAACGGCGGAACTAACTTTTAGTAACCTTGGCAGCGCTGGGTTTCCCATCCTAGTATTAGATAAAGTTAAAGATTTATTAACACAGCTTTCGTAATTAAACCACTAAAAGATTTACCTATTTCAAACAGTTTGATATATGGAAAAAACACAAAAATAATTCATAATATTCGCAAAATCTAAAAAAGCCCGGGTTTCCTTGAATATGTGATTTTATTAAAAGTCTTTTGGCAGTAGCTATTTATTTGAGTGACCTCAACGAAAATGAAGACGTCATCGTTAGAGATCCATATTCTAAACTAATTCTTTAAACTTTATCTAGGCATACGCTAGAGCACCTGTGCTTACAGTTAATGGAGGAGAAGGAGGGTTCGACGGATTCAGGTCAGCATTTAATGATTTTAACGATCAATTTGTTTTTTTAAATAATTTAGAAAATATGGCAATACCCCATTCACAACAGTACCCTTGAAATCTTATCTGATCCATAGTGTCGGTTTAAAATGTTAAAATTGTTGAATTTTGTTTAAATATATATACGTTTTTATACAGTAGAAATGCGTAAGTCACTTTTGAAGAGAAACCACTATTGAAAATAATCAATTTTCAAGATGAAAAACATGACAGTCTATTATTTTCCATCTTTGAATAAAGGGTCATTGGAAATTATGTTTATATTCCNAATCAAACCTGTGTCTAAACAAGGATAATTGAGATAATCAAACCTGTGTCTAAACAAGGATAATTGAGATAATCAAACCTGTGTCTAAACAAAGATAATTGAGATAATCAAACCTGTGTCTAAACAAGGATAATTGAGATATCAAACCTGTGTTTAAACAAGGATAATTGAGATAATCAAACCTGTGTCTAAACAAGGATAATTGAGATAATTAAACGTCTAGAATTAATGCATTAATGCTTCAGAGACAATTAACATAATTCAAAACTTTGTTTAGTTAAAAAACATCTATTTTTTCCTTGTTCTGGATAGAGGTTTAAAGGCATCTTTCTTGAAACAGAGTGTCACTTGAAAATATGTTTACAGTCCCATTTAATGCAAGAGATATTTAAGATAAACCCCCCTAATTTTAGCATGTTTAAACTATCCTTGGGTTCCCCGCATACATCTATACCTAGGCCAATAAACTTGATGGTTAGCTGGTGTATAAATACCAATAGCATACCACACTTCATTACAATGGTGTAAACACGCAATATATATTTGCAGGCAGTAGGAACCAGAAAACAGTAGAATAAATGTCGTCTTTTTCCTGCTTTTAATGAAGAAATATCGCTAAGGGTCATCGTTGATTTTGAAGGCTTGATCTCGACATCAAATATGGGCACTTTTAAATTTGATGATAAAGTCTTGATCCCTCGATTTAAGATATCCCTGAAAGGGTATTAACACCAGGATATCGAATAGAATTTTATTGAATTTGTTGGGCTGGAAATATTTAACTCCGAGATTCACAGGAAAGTTCTGACTTGAGTTTCTAGATTACTAAGATTCAGTTGAAATTTATTTATCGACATTTTATTATCAAAATAATACTTTAGTATACAGGGTTGGCCCCAGCAACGGCTAGATGGAATTTATTCTGTCCTTTCTTCTATTATTCCTGCAGATTTGAACTTATGCCTTTCTTTGCTAAATCAAGAAAATGTCTAAGACAAAAGGCACAATTTAGGTTTCAGATCTGCAACCTTTTTCATGTCGTCATTAAAGTCTCATTCTTTGTGGATAACCCTGTAGGTCTCAACAACATGAGATTTATAAATGATAATTTCTTAAATTCACCGAACCTTGAGAAGTTGGGATGACCGGCCGTAAATCATATTATATCGTCATTTATAGACTTTCGTTAATTGCGATTTATCATGTTTATGGATGTGTTTTATACTCAAAACTTATTTCTACGCTTTTGGGCGCTGAGCACCACTCCTTCATTACAATATTTTAGGCTCGGGTTGAATGGATTTTCCAACCCAATGAGGGATCCGAAAACTGAAGAATTTAAGGTAAAGATCAGGATCAAGATCAAGATTAGGATCAAGATCAGGATCAAGATCAGGATCAAGATCAGGATCAAGATGTATATGTTTAGGAGGCTATAGGACTAGGCGCGAAGGTGAAAATGGATGAGAATGGAAATATTTTGGTGAAACGTCTCAGGAACAAAATCATTTATTAAATATTCAATATTCTCTAAACTCATAATTTTTCATGGTTCCATTTCTTAAAAATAAAAAAAACGTTCCCCTCTTCCCCCGTTTATACTCTCTGCTATGCTATGCTTTGATCTGGTTTGTATCAATCACAATTCACAATTGAAATTCCATGAATTATTAAAAAGAATAGAAAGTATTATGCATACCCCAGGGTTTGGGACTCATTTTCGAGTCTATATTTGGGACTACCCAATCAAGTCCCTCCAGTCGAAGGGTTTTCAATCCCAAGGATATAAGGATGCAATAGCGAATGATTGGTTGATATCTAGTAAAAGTCCGGTGTATGTTCACAGTGGTCTGGATGAGGGGTCATTCTCCAATAGTCTTCTGAAGATATCCAACAATGTTTTGGATATGGATAAACCACATAGGTAAAGAAATTAACTAATATTTTGGATATTAATAAACCACATAGGTAAAGAAATTAACTAATGTTTTGGATATGGATAAACCACATAGGTAAAGAAATTAACTAATGTTTTGGATATGGATAAACCACATAGGTAAAGAAATTAACTAATGTTTTGGATATGGATAAACCACATAGGTAAAGAAATTAACTAATGTTTTGGATATGGATAAACCACATAGGTAAAGAAATTAACTAATGTTTTGGATATGGATAAACCACATAGGTAAAGAAATTAACTAATGTTTTGGATATGGATAAACCACATAGGTAAAGAAATTAACTAATGTTTTGGATATGGATAAACCACATAGGTAAAGAAATTAACTAATGTTTTGGATATGGATAAACCACATAGGTAAAGAAATTAACTAATGTTTTGGATATGGATAAACCACATAGGTAAAGAAATTAACTAATGTTTTGGATATGGATAAACCACATAGGTAAAGAAATTAACTAATGTTTTGGATATGGATAAACCACATAGGTAAAGAAATTAACTAATGTTTTGGANCCTTGAAATCCTATCTAGCTACCTACCTTAACCTTGAAATCCTATCTAGCTACCTACCTTAACCTTGAAATCCTATCTAGCTATTATAGATTTGTAACTACTTACCTGCCTAGCTACCTAACTACCTTGTTACTCAGCTACCTAGCTACCTAGCAACCTTCCTACCTATACATGCCTTTCTACTTGCCTACTTAGCTTTATTTCTACTTGCTTATCTACCGAACTACCTTACTACCTACCTTCATATCTTTATACCTTCCTCCTACCTTCCTACCTACCTACCTACCTACCTACCTACCTACCTAGGCTTGAGTCCCAATGTGTAATCTCTATCTGCTTCGTGAAGTATGAAGAAGAACTCCTGGATTCACCAATATGGATTCTAATTATCAATATTGTTGCTCTAGAGATGCTTAAAGCAAAACTACCCAACAGTAAGTAAACATCAATTACAATGCAATTACTTTGTTGATTATAGTATTTTTATTCTTCCTTTTGCTAATTATTATGATGTCATAGTTCTTTTCCAAATTATTTAATTGACTATTTTGAAATCAAAAGACCAAAATTAACAAGTTCAAAACTTTGGGTTTTTAAGTTCTCATTAAAGTTTCATCTTTGTTAGGTATCCCTTTAACATACAGTCGTCGTCGTATTTATCAATGCAATGAAGACGACTTTCGATTTCAATTATTATTTCTTCCAAGCTTTCAAAAACATGCATGGATAGTGAACATGGAAACAAAGAGAAGCTGTCAATTTTACAGTTTCTTTTTGTTTACTTGTAAACTTGTAAATTAAAAAAAAACCTGAAAGAAATAAAACCTTAAATCGAAAATTTGTTATCATTGTATTGATATAAACGCCGATCACTGGATCATAACACTAATTTTAGCTAGGAAATAAACACATAGTTATATGGAGCCCATGCAAGTAAAAGGCTGAATCAATTTTAATTACGATTTTTTTGCATTTAAGAGCATTTTACCTTCTGATTCTATTTTTTTACAATCATGTAAAAACTTATTTGAAATATTTTTTCTATTTTTATAAAAAAAATTTTTTTTTTGTTATTTAGGTTCCCGAGTTCCCCTATACACAGTTAATGGTGACAAAACCTTTCCTGTTTCAGGTTTTTAATTACAATTGTGTTTTCCAGATTTTGAAATATTTTGCTATCGGTTACCCAACCAAATAAACTAAAATAAAATAGAACACCGACTCAAATCTTAAAACACTTTTTAAAATTCCTAGCTGAACTAACTATGTTTAAACTGCGTCAATTTATTTCAGGAAGTTCTGATGAGGATCCGTATAGTCTAACATCTGGTAATGGTTCATCAGGTATTCTATTCCTTTTTCGTATAAACTATTGTTAGATTGTTAGGAAAATGATAAAATTTGTTTAGATTTTAGAACGAATTTTTTTCAATTTCTAAACGTGAAGGTCTCTTCTGAGAGTGATTTAAAAAATTAATTTTGAAAGATTCAATTTAAAAATCCCCCANATAATAATAATAATAATAATAATAATAATAATAATAATAATAATAATAATAATAATAATAATAATAATAATAATAATAATAATAATAATAATAATAATAATAATAATAATAATAATAATAATAATAATAATAATAATAATAATAATAATAATAATAATAATAATAATAATAATAATAATAATAATAATAATAATAATAATAATAATAATAATAATAATAATAATAATAATAATAATAATAATAATAATAATAATAATAATAATAATAATAATAATAATAATAATAATAATAATAATAATAATAATAATAATAATAATAATAATAATAATAATAATAATAATAATAATAATAATAATAATAATAATAATAATAATAATAATAATAATAATAATAATAATAATAATAATAATAATAATAATAATAATAATAATAATAATAATAATAATAATAATAATAATAATAATAATAATAATAATAATAATAATAATAATAATAATAATAATAATAATAATAATAATAATAATAATAATAATAATAATAATAATAATAATAATAATAATAATAATAATAATAATAATAATAATAATAATAATAATAATAATAATAATAATAATAATAATAATAATAATAATAATAATAATAATAATAATAATAATAATAATAATAATAATAATAATAATAATAATAATAATAATAATAATAATAATAATAATAATAATAATAATAATAATAATAATAATAATAATAATAATAATAATAATAATAATAATAATAATAATAATAATAATAATAATAATAATAATAATAATAATAATAATAATAATAATAATAATAATAATAATAATAATAATAATAATAATAATAATAATAATAATAATAATAATAATAATAATAATAATAATAATAATAATAATAATAATAATAATAATAATAATAATAATAATAATAATAATAATAATAATTTCTAGGCTCGTCGAAAGATAAGGACAAGTCTGGAATTCTTCTAAAAAAAGAGAAAGATTATTTTGTTCCTCAAAACTGGACTTCTACCCAGGATAGGAGAAGGGACAGGTATTATAATGGTTTAAAATAAAAATGTTGTACAGTATATAATAACCAGAAAACTGTCAAATAGGAAGACGACATTAAAGCAATATGAAATTGATGTTGTTAAGAAAGCAACTAGTTTTGTTAGTAACGTCGTATTTAATTACTTTTATAGTTTAATTGGTCTGTCTACTTTGCACCATTGCGTTGTATGATGTTCACTGGACTATTTGAAGTCACAACCTGTGACTAAAAGTCGTCTGCTTTTTCTGGAGTTTTCTGGTTCTCACTGTAGTTCAACTGAAACACCCATTTCTATAGATTAAAGGAACTTAAACTTTCGTCAAACTCTAATTTTCAAACCTTATATTCTTGCAACCTGATGTCATGACCTTTTGAAATCATGTTACATGGGAAAAGAAATTTTAAAGCTTTCAACTAATTTTAAAATTGAAAAAATAATACAATGAATAGCGATAAGTATTTAATATACGCAGTTCAAATTGAACCATTTCTCTTCTTGTTATTATTTATGAATCAGCAATGAGCCTTCAATTGTAAAAAAGGATTTAATTGTTTGACACAAAACTATAAATGAACTCGAGTAGAATTCAGTTAAAAATCAAGCTATAAAATAAAACGTTCATTAAACGTCAAGCTAAAGTAAGTTGGACGTAAGATTGAAATCCTACGTGTTTTCAAACACAACTCCTCGTATGTATTACATGTATTATAACTGATTAAATTCTTGTGCGTAAAATAAAAACTAGAGGGTCTATATTCTATAAAAACTAGAGAGTCTATATTCTATAAAAACTAGAGGGTCTATATTCTATAAAAACTAGAGGGTCTATATTCTATAAAAACTAGAGGGTCTTTATTCTATAAAAACTACATTCTGTCTAGTTCGGTGTGCAGTCTAAAATATATAATTTTAGAAAGACTAAGTAACCAATAAATATTAACTAAAGTTCTCTAAAACCATCTTTTTTGCTAAAAAACGTGAAAACAAAGTTCCCTAAAACCATCTTTTTTGCTAAAAAAAGTGAAAACAAAGTTCCCTAAAACCATCTTTTTTGCTAAAAAAAAGCAAAAACAAAGTTCTCTAAAACCTTTTTTTTTGCTAAAAAAGTGAAAACAAAGTTCCCTGAAAGTATCTTTTTCTGCTAAAAAAGTGAAAACTTAGTTCCCTGAAACCATCTTTTTTGCTAAAAAAAGTGAAAACAAAGTTCCCTGAAACCATCTTGTTTGCTAAAAAAGTGAAAACAAAGTTCCCTGAACCCACCTTTTTTTGCTAAAAAAGTGAAAACTAAGTTCCCTGAAGCCGTCTTTTTTTTCGTAAAAAAAGCAAAAACTTTTTAGAAACGTTTCCTAAATGTTCCTTGTTCCCTAAAAGCACCTATATTTGTCTGTTTAAGGTCCAGAGACAATTTCCTAGACGAATCTGAAAGTGCTACTCTAAAACCAAGGTATAGTTTTCTCAAAACATTTTATCCAAATTAATTTTTTTTATAAATATTTAAAATTTCTTAGAACGAACAATAGACGAAGAATTCTGAAAAAATCTGACGAAAAAAAGAAAATAGGTGAATTATTTATTTTTATTTATTTTCATATTTTAAAATTTTTCATCTTACATTACACAGTGTCAACCATGAGTACGGTCTTAACACGAAACAGTAATAAATAGAAAACGATTACTTCCTTATATATGGGTCGAACGAAACATATCTTTATTAACTGTAACGGTTTGCAACTGCAAGAAACAGGTTCCTCTACAACTCAGTTAAATTATATCTTTAAGAATTAAAGAAAACATAATCCCGTCGTTTTTTCGGAAAACAAGTATTTTTCTGTAAACTAAAGGAATTGAGTTTTTGTAACAAACTCTGATTTTCTAATTTCAATATAATTGCAACCCAATGTCGTAGACCTTTAATATTTCAAACTATGAATGCTATAAGATCAAATGATGTAAGTTTGAAATATCAAAGGCTTACATAATAAGGTTACAGAGAAATAGGTGTTGCAAAAACTGAATTTGTGGCAACGACTCAATTCCTTTTAGCGGATTTTTTTTCAATGGTTTAATTTATTAGTATTTTCGTTTCACGTTTGAATATTTTATTTAAAACAAATGCTGTTCCAAAAATAAAATTTCTTTCATTAACCCGTCAGGACATTTGGAGAAAAATGTACGCTAGATTCTGACGTGTGTATTTATCTTAATCAATTGTGGAAAAGGGATATGAAAATAAACCAAAATTTCGGGGGGGGGGGGTGATTTTATTCATGGTCTATTCGGGTTATAAAATTAATTGTTACTTTTTCTTCACCTTAATCATACATGATAAAAAGATAAATGAAGTAACTTCTCATAAATATTTAGTGCAGTGTAATCCTGATCTAATTCATGAATAATTTTATAATAAAAGAACAGTTTTAAATCGAGTCGATATAGGCCCTATATTTTACAATATGACCTATTCACAAAGATACCCTTTCAAATATTTTCTCGAACCCTTTAGTTCATGCTAAGATCTGCAATTGTGTCAATTTTATACTTTTATAAAAAAAGAACAATGATAATACTTTCTTTTTTACGTGGATAAAGATTTAAAGGTAACTGTTGTAAATCTATAAATAAAAGGTGACTTTACGTTATACTGTCCCTTTAAGTGTAAATAGACAAGACTAACAAGATATAAATATAGTGAAGAAATGATATATACTTGCTTCAGGGACTTAAATAGAAAGATAGACAGATGGATAATAAAAGGTTGAATATAAATAATGGCCGACAATTTAAACCAATCAACAAGGTTTCTTCAAATACTGCCGCGATCAATTTTTTTATATTCTACAGGCTTCTTATTATGAGGGGGGGGGGAGAGGGGGGAGAAAGGGAAGAAGGGAGAGGGTAGATACATTTTATTATTATTAGTTGCGAAAAAAATTTTAAAATCTTAAGAAGTGTCTACTACTGTTTCTTGTTCTGTTGATGACCCCTACTACTGTTTCTTGTTACGTTGATGACCCCTTCTTCTGTTTCTTGCTTAGTTAATGTCCCCTTCTTCTGTTTATTGTTTAGCTGATGAACCCTACTACTGCTTCTTGTTTAGTTGATGACCCCTAAGACTGTTTCTTGTCTAATTAATGATCCCTACTTCTGTTTCTTGTTTAGTTGATGATTCTTACTACTGTTTCTTGTTCCGTTGATGACCCCTACTGTTTCTTGTTTAGTTGATGACCCCTACTGCTGTTTCTTGTTTAGTTGATGACCCCTACTTTTAGCTGTTTCTTCTGTAGTTAATAACCCCTACTACTGTTTCTTGTTTAGCAAATGACCCTAATTGCTTTTTCTTGTTTAGTTAATGACACCTACTATTGTTTCTTGTTTTGTTGATTACACCTACTATTGTTTCTTGTTTAGTTGATTACATCTACTATTGTTTCTTGTTTAGTTAATGACCCCTACTACTGTTTCTTATTTAGTTGAAAACCCCTTTTACTGTTTCTTGTTTAATTAATAACCCCTACTACTGTGTTTCTTGTGTAGTTAATGACTCTTACTACTGTTTCTTGTTTAGTTAATGACCCCTACTACTGTGTTTGTTTAGCTAATGACCCCTAATATTGTTTCTTGTTTAGTTGATGACCCCTAATATTGTTTCTTGTTTAGCTGATGACCCCTACTATTGTTTCTTGTTTAGTTGATGACACCTACTATTGTTTCTTGTTTAGTTGATGACCTACTATTGTTTCTTGTTTAGTTGATGACCCCTACTATTGTTTCTTGTTTAGTTGATGACCCCTACTACTGTGGGTTCAGTGCTCGGGTTCCTGCATTTGCCTCAGCTCCGGTTCAACCCGCGACACCAAAACTCGAGAAAAACAAGGGAAGAGAAAACTATTATATGAAGATTCCCTTTCATAAACAAGCAGACCCAGTTTAGATATAGTTAGCAGACCCAGTTTGGAATAGTTTAGCAATTTAAAATCGAGTGTAGCCGACCCATGGTTTAGAATAGAGTGTAACAGACCCAGTTTTGAATCTAGTTTAGCAGACCCAGTTCAGAATGTAGTTTAGCAGATCCAGGTTAAAATCTAGTTTAGCAGATCCAGTTTAGAATATAGTGAAGCAGATCCAGTTTAGAATATAGTGTAGCAGACCCAGTTTAGAATTTAGTTTAGCAGACCCAGTTTAGAAAAAAAGTGTTGCTGACCCAGTTTAGAATAGTTTAGCAATTTAGAATCAAGTGTATCCGACCCATGGTTTAGAATAAAATATAGCAGACCCAGTTTGGAATATAGTTTAGCAGGCCCAGTTTAGATTATAGTGCAACAGACCCAGTTTAGAATATTAATGTGTAGCAGACCCAGTTTAGAAACTAGTTTAGCAGACCCAGTTTAGAATATTATATTGCAGCAGACCCAGTTTAGAATATTATAGTGCAGCAGACCCAGTNTTTGACTGCATACAGTTGTACTTAGTAAAACAAGAAAATTGCAGTATACAAACAGAGTAAACTTGTCCGTCTTCCCTGTTCATCTTGCGGAGACATTATAGACACATCTTTGCAGGCTTTTACCCTTTACATAAAATATAGATATTATAAATACAGAGGGTTTCAATAAAGATAGGAATTCAGAATGAAATGGGGTTCGTCTTTGATGCAAAAGTTGTACACCCCCCCCCCCCCACAAATTCCTGTAAACGCAGCAGATTGTTATATTTCTAAGAGTGTATAAAAAAGTCACTCGTTTTATAATCTTTCCAAAATAGGGTCTAGCTTCATTGTATCTTATACTTACTAATAGAGGTGATATGATGTATAGACAATCGTACTTTAAACTTTTAGCTTTCCGTTGGTATTATTGTGGAATAAATTTGATTTATCTGTGAAAATAATATAATATTCTTTGCGACACCTTTTAGCACAAAATCTGCAGCTCATCATCAAATATGATCATGTCGATTATGTCTTCTTTAATTACAGTTGTTTAAGCTTTAGTAGCTTCTTAATTAAAGGGACTATATACGTCCCACGAAACATGACAGTTGGTGAATAGTTTAAAATGTCTTTTTCCATAATTTGTTAAGTTGTTTGATAACAAAGATCAATAAAAATATTATGTGGGAGTCATGCTATATTAAAATTACTTTCAAATTAAAATTTTATGAAACAAAAGATTTGTTTAACTTAAAATAACGATTAATTAAATGTCATGTTTCGCGGGACACCCTGTACGTATTCTAGACTGAATATAGTGACCCGCAAAGGGGGTATACAGAAATAAATGTAGGGGGGGGGGGCAAAACAAAATTTTACGCCCCCCACCCATTACAGGTCTAGGTAGGGCACTGCCCCCCATGCCCCCCCCCTGTATACGCCCTTGGTAACCCACCATTAAAGAGCAGCGTGTCCGATTCACAACGGTTCCCTTTCAAATCTAAATTGGGGTAACAATGAGAAAGATATTGTCATTTTCTATCTAAAACATGCTAAATTCCGTGTAGTTCCTTCTATTGCCTCTGAGTCATAAATGCGCAAATCCCTTTTATTATAGAGAAGCCACACTAGAAATTAAACCATTGTGAATTGGAGATGTCACTCTATATTTGAAACCACGACTACTGCAGACTTACAGTCCCTTTAAAATCCCCGAGAAGGTTTAATCTCTGTCCCTGATTAGGTTCAACCCTATTGGTGGCAGTCTAGACTCTACCCAGAGCAAACCAGAGGAGTTCAGTATCCAGAACCAGTCAGGGGGGCGCAGTACCCCCCAGAACCAGTCAGGGGGGCCCAATACCCCCCGGAACAAGCAAGGGGGCCACAGTACCCCCCAGAACAGACCAGAGGGAATCAGTATCCAGAAGGAACAAGATATTCTGATTATTCTAGAAGATATCCTGAACCTCTTCCTGGTTAGTGCTTTACATAAATATATTACACTTTCTTGGGAACTCAGCGTTGCTTAGGTTACTCAGGATACTTCCACCGTTTACCCGCGTTTGGTCTTTCAACTATTTTTCACAATAAAAGTCGATCCATCTCAAAATTTCTGGGGTCGATCCATCTCAAGATTTCTGGGGGGTTCTCCCGAGTTCCCCCAATCAAAATTTGAGGCAAATAGGTCATGGGGTTCCTGAATTATAATCGAACTTACAACAAAATAAACAAACAGAGATTACTACTCTATATATATCATTCATATCCTGGACATAGGATATCTTCTGGAAAAGTTAAGGGTTGTGGAATTGAAGGCAAAGACAGGAAAGGGGGAAGTTGTAAAGAAAGGGAAGGAGGGGGGGGGATGTAAAAAGGGGAAAGGTTTGCAGAGTAACAAGCTAGGGGAATGCAGAGGAAGGGGGGTGATTGAAGAACGAAAGAAGAACTATATTTTGATTAGAAATGCAATTTTTACAAACAACTTTTTGTTGTCAAAACAAATTTGTAATTTGCAAATAATTGCCAAAGTTTGTTATAAATATTTCGCCCTTTATCTAGTATTTTTATTCTGATCTTTGAGTAAATATTTTTTCATCTGTTGATTGGATTGAAAAGGATTTTTTTTATGGCAGAAATGCAAATTTCTAGAATTTGTATCTTGGAGTTCGATCTTAAACAAATTCAAGAAAAATTGGCCATAACCGTAATTACTACCTNTTGAATATTCATGAAAATGCAGAAAATATTTAATTTGGAGCATTAAATATAAGCTTTTGCATTAATTTGATATGCACACATTTTTCATAATAAGAAATACTACACTCTAGTCTTCTTGTTCTAACAATCATATTCAATATTCATGTCAAAATGTGATCTCATATTACAGGGGTATCCAAAAAGTATGTTACGCAGCTTTACACTTGTTTCGTTCTTTGTCAAGTAAAAAGAATATATTTAGTATAGAAGACCAAATTTAGTCTCCGTTATAATTGTTTCAGGAAAAGGTCTGTTAGGTTTATCCCCTGGATATATGGATGCGAGACTACCCTACAATTTCAATGGTAAATATACAGTGTGTCCCAATAAACATGGGAATTCAGTGATTACTTTATATCGTCTTCGATCCATGCGGCATTTTTTCATGACCACAATATTGCAGTATTCCAGCTTTAACATCTAATATCGAGAAAGCCTGGTCTTGAGATTTTTAAACTGTGGTCTACCATTTTTGTATCTTCAAAATTGACGGAGATATTGCGAAATTTGTACAAATTTCAATTTATTTAATAAATCAATATTGTCTTAATATTTAATATCTTCGTCACTTTTCAAGTTACAAGAAAGATTTATGTTGATCACTTTATGAAAAGCTCGTCATACATACAGCCTAGTTTTTCCTACAATCTTTGCCACGCCTCAAATATCGGAAATCCTAAAGACGACTTTCAAGTCGTAGCTCTCAATTCCCATGTTTATTGGGACACCCTGTATCTTAAAGGGACTGTCGTTGAAATTTCAAGTAACTCCCGTTTACTGTGGGGCATGTCCGATTCACAACAGTACCCTTCAAACCTTTACTGATTAATAATTTAGCTTTACAAGGGTTTAATCCTGAACATTTCTTACTTGTTACAGGGTGTCCCAATAAACATGGGAATTCAGTGACGAATTCGATATCGTCTTTTTAAATAATTCTTTGATTTAGTATAGTGATACCTACTGAGAAAGCTGTAATCTGTTTGTTTGTTTGTGTTTTGACTGCATACAGTTGCACTTAGTAAAACAAGAAAATTGCAGTATACAAACAGAGTAAACTTGTCCGTCTTCACTGTTCATCTTGCGGAGACATTATAGACACATCTTTGCAGTCTTTTACCCTTTACATAAAATAAACTCTAGCAGACATAATAATATTATGGCTTTTGAAATTAGGTATTACAAAGCTAATTCATAACAAAGACGATATCGAATTCGTCACTGAATTCCCATGTTTTTTGGGACACCCTGTATCTTGCAACAGAAATGGGCGAGTCACTAATTTGTAGTTTTGTAAATTATAAAAAAGGACATATAATTTGCACTCAATCAGAAAAAGCGTGTGAGTTGTCATTTGGAACGATTTTTATCTTAATTACGTAACATACTTGATTATTTAGCACTTCGTTATGCTTTATTTTTTGTTAATGATTTGGATCACTTTCCTTAAGCGTCCAGAACATGTTTGGGCTTGGATTAAAATACTTTTTTTTAGAATTTTCCAGTCTTCAGTTCACCGCTCGGGCCGGACTACCTGGGGGTAGGGGTGGAGCTCCTTCTAGTTCCCCTAGACCAGGGAGAGGAGGGGCCACCACCACCACCCTACCTAAACAACAAACAACACCAAAGGCAAAGACAAAGTATGTTTTTTTTACATTTTCATAAAAACTAAATATTTACATATTTGAAAACATTCTATTTTCAGGAAAAATTTTCTGCGCCAACATGTTTTCAAATCTTCATCATGAGCAGTATCATCATCATTGTACATAGTAAAAAAAATAGTAGATAAATAACATCATGAAACTTAATTAAGAGGTTGTATGTAAGGTGTACACTATGTGTGCCAAAAAAAAATATCCTGCACAAACTTGCAACAAAAAACCGTCTTTGTGCTTCTTGCTGTTTTTGTTTTTTGAAAATTCTAGAATCTGAAGTTTGATGGGCGACCCGTTTGCTCAAAAAATAAATTATAAATATCAAGAATGCGTTCACTAAATTTTAAATAGGTTTTATTTTATTTATTTTAAATCAGATTTGCACAACTTGAATCTTGAATTTCGTGTTTTCAACATGTCCTTAAAGCATGAAAGTAAATTATTTAAAAACCATGACCCCTTGCCATCATTATATTAGTGCTTACTATTCCTACTAGTCATTTTATAAGTCATTATACATAATCTGTTCAAACACGTCAGATTATTTGATTTGTATATATGTTATATTATAAAATAAATTGTATCCAAACCTGCTTAACTCTAATCTAATTAACTTTCGAGTGAATATATTTCGAACAAATCTGTCCTTTCATCGTCCAAAAACTATATTTTTTGATCATATTTGCGTTACGATTGACTTTGAAATATTGATATCCAACAGAAATGGAAAAACTCGCCAAAATCTATCGTTATTTTACATGCGTCATTTTTATACTATTTATAATATATTTTCTGAGCTGGGAACTTTAGAATGGTGGATATCGAGATTAATGCTTTATCCTCTCTTTTTCTTAATCTCGAGACTAACTTAATCTTGTACTTGTATCCTGAAAAGTGTTCAAAATTCAACCAATCAAAGTCGCGTATAATTGAAGCCGATAAATTTGAAATTTTGCGCGCAATTTAGGATTAATAAAATTAAAATACAGAAACGGGAAGGACTCTTTAACTTTTAAAAACCGGTTTTTGATTTTTCTCTACTATGCCCAAAAAAGAGTGGATTAAGCAAGAAATCAAAAGTGTCCACATTGGATATTCGGATTTAGCAGTCGGGATAAATGGAAACCCATTCTAAAGTTCCCAGCTCTGGTCACAAAGTGGCAAAGTGTAAGAGAAGCAAATGTTCAGAAAAAAAATAGCACAAAACTATATCTGAAGCAGGCTAACTTATCTAGAAAAATTAAAAATGGATATAGATGTATGCTATTGACTAAAAATCGTATTGGTATGACAACAAATTAATTTCCAGTGCCTCTGTTGCAATGTTTATCAGATAAAAATACAAATTTAGCGCATATCAAGATCTTACCGCATGAATAGCATAAAATCTTAGCATTTTCTCAAAGGCTAGTTTCTTTATTGTTTACATTCAAACATGCAACCCTATCTCTGCTGGGGTACTTGAAAACCAGGATATGCGGGGGGGGGTCAATTTGACCCCCCCCCCCCCTCCTTCTAAATCCTATGTTTGATGTCCAAATATGACAAATGATACATCATTGGCTCTACTTTTAGAATCAGCAAAACAAATGCGAATTTACAAAAATTGAATTTTTTATAGCAAAATCCAGTTATATAGTAAGAATGTTTGCAAAAAAAGTTGTCCAAAAAATGAAAAATTATACATTTTTGAAAAGCCCTTGACCATGCCATTTCAAATATGCAAAAATGTTTGCAAAATTTTAAATTACCCGATTTTAATCAAGAAAGACTAAAAATGTGCAAATTTCCTTTGACAGGTTGTTTGAATTTTTTTTGCATAACTTGTAAATTTGTTTCCTTATGTCAAAGGCTTTCCTAAAAGATAAATTTTATCAAAATCTGACGAGTAAAAGTGGGTCAAAACAAAGATTTAGTTTGTTACAGGAAAAAGCAGTCATTCAGGCAGTGTGCCTGAGGACTCAGGCAGTTAGTATTAAAGCCCCGTTTTAGGCCGATCGGGCTTTGGGTATGTTGGAAAAGTCAGAAAATTTCAACAGCCTCAGACCAATACTTTTCGAGTTATGTAAAAAAGACTACAGGGGGGCCCCCCCCAGCAGGAATAGGGTTAATTATTTAAAGGCAGTTTAACAAAATTTGTCCTTACTTTCCTGAAATTTATTTTAAAGTTTTAGAGCTAGGAAACCCTCCCCTAGTCTCAGCCAATTTAACATTACTTAGTTATAATTATAATAACATAATTTAAAACTGAATCTTTATAATAGTAGCAATTATGAAGTATTGTGTATAAATTAACGTGCTGCGTTCACACTACACATGTTTCAAACCACTAATTTTCTGATTGCAAATCTATGTATTTATTTATTTATTCCTTTAAAATTTGGTTTTTTAATCTAATGTTTTCAGTAAAAAGGAAATTTGTGGAAATGAGGGATTTATTTATTTATTTTAAAAAATCAAAAATTTACAAAATTTATGCATGTAATACAATTAAAAAATCAAAAATTTACAAAAGGGGGGCCACAAAACGTATTACTCGCCGGAAAATTTAAACAGTGGTTAAACATAACTTAGAATTGTCGTAGGAGGCTGATTTTTTGCATGCAAACTTTTGTATTAAATACATATTTAAATGCTGACAGAGAGAATCTCCCTCCCGGTTAACTGATTGTTTAAAAAGGGTTTTCATGAGTTGAAACTTTAATTACAATAAATTGGTTTTAGGAAGGTGGGATTTTAAAATGAATTTAAGTGAATATTTTATTAAATATTATGAAATGCAGTAATTAAGAAAATATTATATGAATTAATATGAAATGTAATAAATAAGTAAATGTTATATGTAATAATATGAAACGTAATAATTAAGTAAATATTTTGAAATGATATGAAATGTATTAAATATAGGGGAATTGTGGAGTGATTCGACACTTATACTACCTGAAGTTAAATGAAAGAATGTGTATTTATCAAATGTTTCTGTATATGATAGTAAATGTTAGATTATGTGATTTGCAAGGTTATTAAAGAATCGTGTTGTATTTGAAATTTAAAGCCATTTGTTGATTTTGTCGTTAAAATTTTGCTTTTATTTTATTGCGTGTTATATCGTGTTTGTACTTTCATCCTTTATTACCGTTAATTTTAAGTATTGTTACATAATATATGTTATAAAACTATCTTTAACTTTAAGTATCGTTACATAATATATGTTATAATACTATCTTTGCATGTTATAAGAATATAAAGATACGAGTGATATATACTGAGGTCCATTTCAAATCATCCATTAATACTCGGCTTAGTTATACTACTGATTATTAACAATAACTTACTTGTTTTTTATAATTGATTAGGATGACTTCCAGCTGTCAGGTTTGTGTATAGTCCTGCCACGTAGTTCTGACCAGTTCTTGTAAAACCCAGTTACTAGTAGGTCCAGTGATAAACCTCTATCTACCATTGTTTTCCTACTCAGATTTGGTTCTTGTCCTAGGAAAAATCTCGCTACTTCCTGGTCTGAATTGCATGAATATCTGGTACGGATTTCTGAGAGGGTATATTCCAGTGTTTTACCCGTGCTCATTTGAATTGTTCTTCTCGTTCTCTCCATGGAAGAACAGCTCAGTAGAAGGTGTATTTCATCGTTCCGGCCTTTTAGACAGAGAGGGCAAGTTGTGATCCTTCCGTCATCTTGTGACATAGCATCCGCAGATCTAAATCCATCTCTGTTCCCTAATCCTGAATTCATAGATCTGTACTTTACCAACATTCTCGACCATTGGAATTCTTCTACAAATGGTGAAGGTTTCCACCACCTACGCGGTATGGGCATGATTCTTAGGCTGTCCAGCTCTTGAACTCGTCGCAAAATTTCTATATCAGATGTTGATGAATTGGAAAGTGCGGATGTGGGAAATACAACTTGTGCAGGATTTAGTGATGACGACGGAATTATGGCTTCACCTTTTAGTAGTGCTGAAGTCTCCTTTGAAGCGGAAGATAAAGGGATGTATATTTTCTTGAAAAAAAAACGCTTTTTATACCCCCTTTTCAAAATAGTATGGTCTAGTTGCTTAATCGGATGAAAGAACAATTATTTTAGGGTAAAATAAATTATTAATTATGAAAAAATTTGCAATTTTGATGTTTCTTGTTTCATTTTTCTCCCTAAAGAGCATCAAAAACTTGTGAGGGTAAATCTTGAAAATATTTACCCCTGGGATGTAGTTATATCTCAGAGGAAGAATACAATCGGAAATATAAATAACTTTTTTGACCAGGTAACTTATATAAAGTGAATTTTTTTTTTTTTTGTTAAAGAAGATTTAGTCTATTTAGTCACAACTTTAAATGCTTTAAGGAAAAACCCAAGAATTTAATATGTTTAGATTCCAAGTGCATGTGAATCCACAGACTATGTATGTAAGCATTGCCGTATAAGTATCTCAAAAGCCAATGAAGGAAATCACAATAACAGGTAGTTTAGAGATATTTTGATTATCTTAAATATAACAAAACTTAAGATTGACAAATTTTAACTTGATAAAGCCTGAGTATTAAAGTTTTTTAAAAAGTTTTTAATAACCTTTATTTCTAATTTTAATGAATTCAAATCTCACAAATTCATTTATTTTTTAACTTAAACATTTAATAGGACTATAATTACAGCAAATTGGATTGATTGCACGCTCTACAAAAATAGATGCGCATTTATACTGCAGGGAAACAGAAAGGAATTGTAACGACAATATCTTCTACTTTATCGATCAGATAAAGGATGGGTACCCTTGTGAGTCGGGCATTGGCAACTTTGCAAGAAATGCCATTAGAAATTACGTTTACAGCCCCTTTACGGTTTATTAGTTTTCTTGTCTTGCCTTCATCCTCCTGTATTTAAATCTATGTTCAATTATCTAAGAGGTACTTTCCACATGAATGTGTCTTGCTAGTGCATGGCTTCATTATCGGTTGAAGTTTTATGTTATTGCGAAATTTATGTGTTTTTTTTTCGCGGATTTCAATAAATATGTTAAATTTTTATGATTTTTATGATTATTCTTTTATTTGTCCCGCGTTTATCCCTGTCCCACGTTTTTCTTGTCACACTTAACTTATCACCAATTGTCTTGTCCTAAGTTTGTCCCTGTCCTATGTTTGTCCCTGTCCTATGTTTGTCCCTGTCCTATGTTTGTCCCTGTCCTATGTTTGTCCCTGTNAGAGGATACATGGATACAGAGGATACATGGATACAGAGGATACATGGATACAGAGGATACATGGATACAGAGGATACATGGATACAGAGGATACATGGATACAGAGGATACATGGATACAGAGGATACATGGATACAGAGGATACATGGATACAGAGGATACATGGATACAGAGGATACATGGATACAGAGGATACATGGATACAGAGGATACATGGATACAGAGGATACATGGATACAGAGGATACATGGATACAGAGGATACATGGATACAGAGGATACATGGATACAGAGGATACATGGATACAGAGGATACATGGATACAGAGGATACATGGATACAGAGGATACATGGATACAGAGGATACATGGATACAGAGGATACATGGATACAGAGGATACATGGATACAGAGGATACATGGATACAGAGGATACATGGATACAGAGGATACATGGATACAGAGGATACATGGATACAGAGGATACATGGATACAGAGGATACATGGATACAGAGGATACATGGATACAGAGGATACATGGATACAGAGGATACATGGATACAGAGGATACATGGATACAGAGGATACATGGATACAGAGGATACATGGATACAGAGGATACATGGATACAGAGGATACATGGATACAGAGGATACATGGATACAGAGGATACATGGATACAGAGGATACATGGATACAGAGGATACATGGATACAGAGGATACATGGATACAGAGGATACATGGATACAGAGGATACATGGATACAGAGGATACATGGATACAGAGGATACATGGATACAGAGGATACATGGATACAGAGGATACATGGATACAGAGGATACATGGATACAGAGGATACATGGATACAGAGGATACATGGATACAGAGGATACATGGATACAGAGGATACATGGATACAGAGGATACATGGATACAGAGGATACATGGATACAGAGGATACATGGATACAGAGGATACATGGATACAGAGGATACATAAATGCAGTGGATACATGGATACAGATTAAATTTTTTACAATGCTATATCAATCAGTTTCCCCCCCCCCCTTGGATTAGTATTATTTTTATTCAAATCTATAATTGGATCTAATACAACAATAACATGACATATAACAATCATAATCGTATCGCATTAAGATTTATTTCAAGATTATTTAGATTAGATTGCACTAGTTTTTCACCTGGAAAAGTGAAATCTATGGTTTCAGGGGTTTTTAGGCTATTAAATACACATCTTCACACCCATTTACCGTTTTCATAAATTAAACTCTAGCAGACATAATAATATTATGGCTTTTGAAATCAGGTATTACAATGCTAATTCATTTCAAAGACGATATCGAATTCGTCACTGAATTCCAATGTTTATTGGGACACCCTGTATAATGTAATGTTGAGAGCATATTTACGGGATTAAGTTTAAGATTGAATGCAATAATACACATTAATATATTTACGTAGAGAACTAGCATAGGTGGTTTCATAAGGGTAAAAGCGCGAAATTTGTTATTTCCCCCCCCCCCCCCAGTAGACTTTTTAAAAATCCCCCCTCCACTCTAAGCTAAAAAGTTCTTATTGCCCCCCCCCCTAACCTTACTAAAAGTTATTCCAAAAAAATTATACTATTTATATTTACATAAATAATTTAATGGGCATTTCTTTCCTTAGTTTTTATTTCTTTTTTGACAAAATATATTTTTCATGGTTTTTAACTATTGCACATTTTATATATTTTTTTCATTGATTTTTTGAGATTCTACGTGTTTTTTATTAGAAAAAAAACTTTCAATAAGAAAGAAAAAATGTGGAAACTGAGAATTTAAGTTATTAGAAAACTGACCTTAAATTTAAGGAAACCGGTCAAAAAATTAGGAAACCTATCAACAAACTGAGAATTTAAAACTTTTTTTGAAAACCGGAAACGGGCCCAATTAAAAGAGGAAACCGATCAACTAACTGAGAATTTAAAATGTTTTTTTTGAAATCCGGAAACGGACCAAAAAAAAGAGGAAATTGGCCAAAAAAAGAGGAAACAGACCCCAAAAAAAGAGGAAACCGATCAACAAAATGAGAATTTAAAACTTTTTTTGAAAACCAGAAACGGGCCCAAAAAATAAGGAAACGGACCCAAAAAAGAGGAAACCGATCAACAAACTGAGAAAATAAAACTTTTTTTGAAAACCGGAAACGGACCCAAAAAATACGGGCCCAATTAAAAGAGGAAACCGATCAACTAACTGAGAATTTAAAAAGTTTTTTTGAAATCCGGAAACGGACCCAAAAAAAAAGAGGAAATTGGCCCAAAAAAAGAGGAAACAGACCCCAAAAAAAAAAGTAAACCGATCAACAAAATGAGAATTTAAACTTTTTTGAAAACCAGAAGCGGGCCCAAAAAATGAGGAAACGGACCCAAAAAAGAGGAAACCGATCAACAAACTGAGAATTTAAAACTTTTTCTGAAACCGGAAACGAACCCAAAAAATGAGGAAACGGGCCCAAAAAAGGGGAAACCGATCAACAAACTGAGAATTTAAAAACTTTTTTTGAAAACCGGAAACGGACCCAAAAAATACGGGCCCAATTAAAAGAGGAAACCGATCAACTAACTGAGAATTTAAAAAGTTTTAGGGGGGGGTCCAAAAATCGTATACTAGGACAGACCCTTCTATCTTTCATATCCCACTCCAGAATTGTCAAATGCTACTATTAAAATCTAAATTTAACATGAAATGGAGAGTACAATGCGAGAAGCATTTTTGGTTGTTTACATTTTATCATACATATATAGAATTTTACTGTAATTTTGTTCAATAAAAGTTTGAAAGAGAAATTAGATTTGAGGAATTTCCGAAAATTTTTGAAAAAAACAGGAAACGCCTCAAAAAAAAATACTTTTTGGTGAGGTTTCCGTTTTTTGTGTCCGATTCCGTGTTGAGGCGTTTCCATGGCACCTTGAAGGTGTATAAATCGTAGAAACATTTGCACAAATTTAATTCTTTAAAAAAACTTAGTTAACAATTTTTTAAAATTTCATATTCTATGCTAACGAGTGACATGACCGGTATATTTGATGGATACGTATGACGCGTATGCGATCAAAATCCGTACTAAACTCAAAACTGAACTAACCGCAAACCGGTGCTCCAGGCCGTACGATTAGTCATTATCTTTACGCGCGATCCTGAAACAGCTGCGTTTGCGTAGCAACAATGGCAGTAGCTCCGCCCTCCGGAGGNGGTATGCAGGAGTAACAGGGTTCAAGGAGTTCAAGAGATGAGGGGTGAAACATTATGAGTGCGGGAAAAACAACACTTGAGCCAATACGCCTTTAGAAAGAGAAAGTCTCTGAGATCATAATATATACGGAAAGGGAATAAAACGGTTTCAAACAAAGACTTAAGAATTTGGAATAAAAACTGATTCAAAATTGAATAAAACGGATTAAAACGGATTTAAAACTAAATAAAACGGAATGAAACGGATTCATAACTGAAAAAACGGAATGAAACGGATTCAAAGCAATAAGAACGGAATAGGACGGATTCAAAAATGGAATAAGGTTTCTCAAACTTTCTAAAATAGAATTTGGGATTCAAAACTTTAAGAAAGGGTTGAAAGGATAAAATTAATGGGTAATTACCTGGAGAATGATATGTGGATCCCCCTACCCCCCCTAAAAGTACCTATTTTAGCCCTAAAAATGATAAAAACGCACACTCGTATCAAAAGCTGTCATAACAGCTGTTAGTTTCTATGCAGGCATCCAACCGAAATAATTTATTTTATATCTACAAAATTCCTCACCCCCTACTCATACCTTTTAAATGACCGCGGCATTCACTCGAATCATGAAGTGAAGCTTTCCCAACCACTCCTCTCCCATGTTTGGACTTCAGCCCCAGCCCAAAATTGATAGGAGGGTCGGGGCGAGGGGGCGGGGGTCCAAAAATCGTATACTATAGGACGGACCCAAAATAACAAATGAGATTTTAATAGAGGCAGAATGAATTTACTATTTCTCAGTAATTACTTTAGCTACGAAATTTTCGATTTTGTTAACGTTTTATATATATAATAGATAATATATTGTAGTGGAATTTATCTGTTAAAATATGCCAGCTTACAACGTATGCCTTGTTTTATACTAAAATTCAGTAATTTCCTAGAGAACGATTTTTATACCCCACCCTTCTATCAAGTTTGTACATGGATCTCATATGTAACACATGGAGATAATGGGTCATGTGGCTGCAGCGCCCGGCCCCCTAGCCTGTCCGGGTCTGTCCTATAGTGAACGATTTTTGGACCCCCCAGGCGCCCCTCCTATCAATTTTGTACATGACCAAATTAGTATTTATTTAGCATTATTTAGGGTTAAAGGTTAGGTTAATAGACACTTTCTGGGCCGAGCGCTGCGGCTAGGATGGGCTAGGGGGCCGAGCGCTGCGCCCACAGGTTAGGTTAAGTTAAAATCACTGTAAATAGGCAAGGTTGATAAGATAACTCTTAACATTTTTTATTAATCTAGATTGTTTATCTTCTACCTCAATGTGCATCACAGTCACCTGCTTCTGGAGATGGTAATCTTCTAGGACATTTGTGCAGAATGCAGGAGAAGAATGGAACAGAAGCAATAAGAAAGTTGTGTGAAGGTTCTGGGAGTTATTTTCCAATCATTATCACAGATGCTGGCTACCAGACTTTTGGTAATGTTACAAAAGATGATGATAATTTCATGGACTTTCGCTCAGTAGTTGAATCTGCAGGAGGCATATTTCTCGGTAAGTCAAAGAACTTTCATAAAATAGGAACCAGTATTTCTGAAAGATAATTTAAAGATAAATTAGCTTCATTTTATTTAATTATTATGATTTTTGAAAAATTTACATTATAATTTAACTAAAACAAAAAAAATGTATAGGTACTAAACAGGAACAATACAGTTTGAGAGTGGATAAAGTAGGCAATGAGTTCATTATGCAGAAAGTAGAATTTGATCCAAGGTTCAAAACACAGGCAGAAAATACTATCAAACTTGTCAGAATAGTAAGATGTAAAAATGAAAATTTGCATGCTGCTCTAAAACAGAAGTACCAGATACTGGACAGTGTTCTGGAACTATCTTATCTTGATCCTCTCTATGATTCTGAATCTTCTCCATCCAAATATACTGCTTTAGCTGCAGTATGTGCTGGTCTATACAATGTTGAACACCCTGGATTTCCTCTCATATTTCTAAAAGAAGATCAAAAAATTTTTAAAGCTGAGCAAATTCTAAGAAATTTCATGACTGAGAATTTTTTGATGCACATTGAGTTCAATCAAGGCTGGGGAGAAGTAAAGTATCAAGATTTTCATGAACAATTTACTTTCCCATACATAAATGATTCCTCTAAAGTAAACCAGATATTTGAGGTAACAACCTCAGTTCATGCCCTTCTGAAAGGAAAGCAAGTTGCATCTCATCTTAGAAAATGTGAAGTGGATCGGATGCAGGATATTGATGGTTTTGATGATCTAAAAGATCTGTTGAAGGTTCTTCCAGCTACAATTAAGGTCAAATTTAAGAGACTGGATAATCCTCCTTCCAAGTATGAAGAGCTATATGAAGAAGGTATTCTTCCACCTTGGCCTGGAGCAGGAACACTCTATAAGATAACTTGTGCTCCATCCAACAAGTCTGATAGTGTAAAGAGAAATTGGAAAGAGCCTACAGTTTTCATTCTAGATGATTCTTCAGCTAATCCTCTGAACTATTCAGATATCTTCAAAACTGTTGGATGTTTTCACTGTATCAACTGTCCATCTGTAAATGGCAGTCTTGCAGGATGCTGCCATATTGGGTTTATGTTTATGCTTTTGAGTGCACCATATTTGCTGGAAAACTCTACTAATAAGCCAGTGAGAATAGTAAATATTAAAAACAAACATGCTGTTCTCCATCCATCTGAAGTCATGGATGGTGTTATTTCTTCGTTTCCACTGGAAAGGATGACTGATGAAAGAACCAGCAAGAACAAGAGAGAAACCAATGTGTTTTACAATCCAGAGGAGTTACTCACATTTAGCGATAATGAAAGCTTAGACTCTATCACCCTTAGGATTGAAACCATTGAAACCCAGACAAATCTAGAAGATCATTCTCGTATTACAACACTCAATGTAACACAACAACATGACCCAGCAGAGTTGCTTGATTTGTTCCTAATGCATTATAGAATGTATTTAAGGTATTATATGTGAATATTTATGAAAATATTGTGTACTTTATTATTTCTTACTAACTTTATCTTGAATTTCATAATGAACATGCTATAAACTAATCATCATGCTGTAAAGTTAAATTAGCTGTATATCATATCACCGTGCTATAAAGTAATCATCATGCATTAATGTTTAATTAGCTGTACACAATAAGACATGCGCTATATTTTCTCCAAAAACTTTAGGATATTTACAAAATATATTTTTTTATTGAAATGAAAATAAAATTAAAATCAACTTTATATTTGGACTTCTGCTTTGTTTCAAAGCTTATTTGATCTATAAATAGTCAGAAGACAATTACAAAAACGTTTTATAAAATTACCAATAACACTATAATTTGGCACAATGTGCTATAAAGTTTTTGGACTTCAATTTTCTTCATATCTCGAAGGTTATCACGTTTTTAGATTATATTTAAATTAAATCTAAAAAAGGCTTGAACCTTCTCGATAAAGAGAACTTTTAAACACTGTGAACAAAAATAACAATGTTCTAAATAATTTTGTTGGTCAAGAATATAAAATTTTTGATAATGTATGACAATTCTCATATATTTAGAAAAAACACTGTCACAAAGTTTCCGTGCCAGGTCACCTGCTTTTGTGGAGTCAACTCTAGAAGGTTAGATACATTATGAAATTTGAAAAAAACGATGTTTTTTAACTTTTATTTTGTTCCTGTTTTGTCATATTTGCTAAGCATTTTTTTATACACTAAGAAATGTAAAATTTAGAGAGGTGTATGAGAATCTTTCATCTTTAATGGTGCCATCTATTTATGTTGGAGAAGAATCTAATGATACAACAATATCTGTAAGATTAAAGAAAGACAAGTTTCTAAGGTGAGTTTTCTGATCATTTGCAGCAAAAATAATATCTGTTGAGTGTTAATATGAATTGATTTTTAAAAGTTGAGTTGCAATTCCTGATTTCAAAGTTAAATGACTTATGTTTTAAAAATATTTTTTTGCATTACCCAGTGAGAGATTCACAGAGATGTGCAGCTGCGGGAGGAGAGCAGATGGCAAGCGGATTGAGGAAACAGGAGAAATAACATTTATCAGGATCGACCGTATCAATATGTTAACCAACACTAAAAGCCAAGCTTTGATTGATCTCAATCCTGCATTCAATATTTTATCATGCTTATTGCATCTGAGGAAGAAATTTAAATATTGTTTAACCTTCATTCTTCTAGAATAAAAAGTAAATGGCTTTGTATGGAATAAGAAATTTGAAAAAAACCGCAAAATATCCCGTTTCATGGTAAATTTACAATTCTCTATTGCTAATTGGAAGTCCAAAAATTGATGTATACCCTATTGCTTTTTAAAATTGGATGGTATATTTGATTATTCACATAATATTTAATCTTCTTCCTTAGTGATGCAACAACACATGGACACTATGTATGTGCATCAAATGTGAATAATGTGTGGTTTCTGAACGACGATAGTAAGCCCATTAGGGTTGTAGACCAATCATATGTAAGCCAACATGTGTGCCTTTTGGCGATTGAGAATGTGTAAGACAGTAAGCTTCTATTTTATCCATTGTGTATATTATTTATACATGAATGTATTAAATTCTGTAATTTCCTAAATTATTTAGAATATNTTCACAAAAAGCGCGCGCGCGCGCACTTTTGCTCAGATTCCTACAAAACCAAAAAATGCATGTAATATACATAATTCTGAGTTTGCATGCAAAAAATCAGCCTCCTACGACAATTCTAAGTTATGTTTAACCACTGTTTAAATTTTCCGGAGAGTAATACGTTTTGTGGCCCCCCCCCTTTATGAATGTAATACAATACTATTATAAATTACTAAAGTGACATACAAATTTACATATGTTTTTAAGGAGCAAAAAAAAACTCAACTTATGATTCACAATTTTCACATTTTCACATTAGGTATCTTTTTTCGGAGAATCAAGGGGAAAAAACAAGCGTTTAATAGGAGCATTGTAACCAATTGTTACATCTTTTAAGCAACCATTTTTCTTCTTAAGGTTAGATTTCCATTTATTTGGATTTTAACGTAACCGGGGAGAAGGTTTAGCAAAAGGTTGGATAAATGGAGTAAATGACACCAATCCAATAAGAATTAAAGCACATTTGTAAACAATTCTTTTAACCAATTAAGAATAATGAGAAAATAAATTCAAATTTGAAACCAATATTATTTAACATCTTACAGCGTGTAATAACTTATTTCAACAGTGAGCAATGTTTTCCTAAAAAATATAAAGATGTAAAATGTCGTCTTCTACAAATAATTTACTTTCTGGTCGAATAAATAAATATTAATTAGAGGCATTCAAATATAAGGATGGCCAGAAAATCTTCAAACCTTAAAAATAAAGTAATTGTGTTGGCAGTTGCTGATATTGATGTGAAAAATATTCCTTTGTCAAAGCCGATTAATTTGCAATTTCCTTGTGAATGAATAAATTTTTAAACAATATCATTTATTTACAGGTTAAGGGGAAATGTTTTTTCTCTCAAAAGACGTAATTCAAGAATAAAAACTTCAATTTTATCTAAAGATCTGAATTTTGATTCATACCTTTTTAATGCCTCCATGTGCATTGTGCACTTTCATTACGGCGAAGGCGAATTCCTGCAAAAAAAAAAACAATGTTACGCGAATCATTATCAACTAGACTTGCTTACATTATTAATACCCTACAATTCTTTTGTAATACCGTCAATATAATCAATTAAAGTCACCCTAAATCTTAAGAACACAAAAAATATCTTTAATTAATGTTTCTAAGATTATTTTTCAAAAAACAACTTCTAATCGCACCCAACAAAAAAATTCCTTCATTTAATTAATTTTTTTAATTTAAAAAAAATTGCTGGTTAACCTGAAAAAAACTGAATCTGAATCTGAGGCATGTCTGGTCTTATCCATCCCTGGCACACGGTACCTTAAACCAATATTACCAAGTATTACTCGTGTGCATGGATTTATTTAATATTTTATTCATCCACAAACATATATGTATTCCACCCTACGTGTATCTAAGATTTTAAATTAGAATTGTTTTTTAAATCTGCATATCCCGATCAATGACCCAAAACCTCATTAATTTTAATATTTTACTGCCTTTTGACCAACATTACCATCCTATTAAACAGAGGGAGGTAATGTAAAATAACCACCCGCTCTACGAAGTTTTCGAGAAATAATTCGCGCATTTATATATCAAAAGACGATAAATTGTGTTTAACTACTTTAACAGGAAATTAAATTTGTACTTAACCACGGGTTCACTTGACCATTTTTGTCTACAAAAAAACATCCCTTGCTGCGCTCTGGAGGTTTTGTAGGCAAAATTGGTCTTAGTAAATCAAAACTAACCTTAACGTTCCTGTAAAGTATTTGTAAATAATTATAGCTAATGTTTCTCAGGATTTAAATCTTGACCTCAATTAAATTCACTCCTGAGACAAAAATACCTAAAATGGCCACGAAAAGGTTGTGCACGCACAAAAATTCTATGGACGCACAAAAAGTTTGTAGGCGCACGAAAAGATTGTAGACGCACAAAAATATTGCAGACGCACAAAATGGTTGCAGACGCACAAAAAGGTTATAGACGCACAAAAAGGTTGTAAACACAAACAAGTTGTGGACGCACAAGAAGGTTGTGGGCGCACAAAAATTGTGTACCAAGATGTATCACGTGCACACACAATTGCTAAAAAAATCAAGTGTCTGACAAGAGTAGAACCCTTAAAACGGTTGAATAAGAAAACTCCTGTTATAAAAAGTTCAAAAAATTCCATTTCAATTCATATTTGCTGTAGAACATAAAATTTACAAAAACTTGCCTTGATGTCGTCTTGCTATTCCACTATTTTCTGGGTTCCACTATAAAATACATAACGTCTTGGCCATTTCCTTTCTCATTGATTATGAACAACTACGCAAGTTAAGCCCCTTTTGAATATTTTTTTATTCGAGTCAAAATCGTGAAAAACATAATACTGTGTGATTTTGTATAACATTTAATGCTTTCTCACGTCATCCAGAATTAACAAACTTATTCAGAAATCTTATAGAATATGAAGTTTTTTTCTATGAGAGGCATGTCCTATGCTGTTAACTGGGGTGTGAAATACTTCACTGGTGTAGTATTTTAACTAATCTTATTGGAGGTAAACCATGGTGCTTATTTAAATTAAACTTTTGACATAATAAAGTGATTGGCCCAAATCAAAAATAATCTATTTGAAATAGTAAAAATAAATCCAGCTACCAGTAATGGACATAAAAAGCTTGTTTAAATTTTCAATAGTTCATAGTATCAGTAGTTCAAATGATTGTCGTTATCTTATTTCTTAGATTATCTTGGGCTAGTGTTTGTAGAGTATGGGTTACGTGTTCTTACATGAAGTTAAATTTTGCTGACGTTCCTTTATCTTTTCTTAGTTGGAAGGTTCAACTCTTTTACCTGGATTCACTGCTCTCACTGTCTCGATTAGTCCCGTACCCACTTTCTGAATAGATCAAAATTACTTGAAGTCGAAGGGAAATTTCAAATTCTCTTTGACAGTTTATTAACAACAAGGGGGGGGGCCACAAAACGTATTACTCTCCGGAAAATTTAAACAGTGTTTAAACATAACTTAGAATTGTCACCACAGACTCAGATTTTATTTCCAAAATAGCTTCACAGAGTACCTTCCAAACCATTCCTAGATCAATGCGGAAAAATCTGAATGTCTTTTTAAATCCAGAAAAGGCTAGCTCAGCAGACCATGTAAGCCTAATTCACATAACTAAGAATCAATTCCTCGAGTTTGTTGAATTGATGAACCTACCAGTCCACAAAAAGTTACTTTTATCCAAGTATAGTGAATCCTTTCTTTTTCGTTTAAAACTTGCAAGCAATTGGAGCTTTGATGAACTAGCTACAGTTTTTTGCATTGGCAGGAGCACAGCTAGAAGGATTTTCTGGAAGGTTTTGAAGATATGTTATTCAACATCTCTAAGTATTCCAAACATTCTAAATGAATACACTAATATGGAGGCTATGTTCCAGAGCATATATGAATCACAGGATCCTTACTTTACCAAGCTCTTCTCAGGATTTCAAGATCCTACAGGTTAATATTTTAATCTTTGTTGTTTAATACTACAATTTCTATTTCTGATGTTCAGGACAAAGAAGACTAGGAGTTCTTCTGTTTTCTGATGCTACATACCAGAAAATTAACAAGAGCTCAGACACAGAATTGAACAAAGCTCTTTATTATAGTCCTTACAACCGTCATATTGTAAAGCTGATGACTATTTGCACAGTACAACCCAAGGTAAACCAAAAATTAAAATAAAATAATATGCCATCTATATTTATACCTACTAGATATCTCATATGCATAGTTGTTCATCCATTATAAGCAGCCAATGTTCTGTTCATATTTTTTTTTCAATTGTTCAAAAAGTAATTGATTTCATTCATTCTCAAACTTATCTTACATTTTCCATATTCTTCACATTTGTTTTCTCTCTGAACGTTTGTTTAGTAAAATAATTTGTTCATCAATTTTTTTTATTTTTCAACATTTTTTAAAAAATCATTAGTAATGGTTTATTTAAGTGTGTTCGAAAAAATCGTTCGTTCAGTAAAAAACAATAAATTTTTTAAAATTTGTTGTAAACATTTAGTTCAGTAAAGAAAAGAATAAAATCATTTTTCACTTCTCTGAATTCTCCACTTTGTCCATCGTTAGTTTCTGAACGACATCCTTCATCACAAAAAATTTTGTTCGTTCTTAAAATGTTTGTTCATTAAGAAATGATGCCCATCTCTAAATTTTACATAAAATAAATCACTGTAAATAGGCAAGGTTGATAAGATAACTCTTAACATTTTTTATTAATCTAGATTGTTTATCTTCTACCTCAATGTGCATCACAGTCACCTGCTTCTGGAGATGGTAATCTTCTAGGACATTTGTGCAGAATGCAGGAGAAGAATGGAACAGAAGCAATAAGAAAGTTGTGTGAAGGTTCTGGGAGTTATTTTCCAATCATTATCACAGATGCTGGCTACCAGACTTTTGGTAATGTTACAAAAGATGATGATAATTTCATGGACTTTCGCTCAGTAGTTGAATCTGCAGGAGGCATATTTCTCGGTAAGTCAAAGAACTTTCATAAAATAGGAACCAGTATTTCTGAAAGATAATTTAAAGATAAATTAGCTTCATTTTATTTAATTATTATGATTTTTGAAAACTTTACATTATAATTTAACTAAAACAAAAAAAATGTATAGGTACTAAACAGGAACAATACAGTTTGAGAGTGGATAAAGTAGGCAATGAGTTCATTATACAGAAAGTAGAATTTGATCCAAGGTTCAAAACACAGGCAGAAAATACTATCAAACTTGTCAGAATAGTAAGATGTAAAAATGAAAATTTGCATGCTGCTCTAAAACAGAAGTTATTCCTTCAAAACCAAAAAATGCACGTAATATACATAATTCTGAGTTTGCATGCAAAAAATAAGCCTCCTAAGACAATTCTAAGTTATGTTTAAACACTGTTTAAATTTTCCGGAGAGTAATACGTTTTGTGGCCCCCCCCCTTTTTGACAAAACTGAAGAATTGTCGAAATTTTGACTGCAGAATTTCATTAAGCGGCCATATCAGGTCCAAACTGTTCAAACCGACAACATTTATTAGATACTAAATACAAACCTTAAAAGTCAATTAAGATTGAATGAAAACATAATACTTGTAATTTAGGCAATTTGATTCCCAGCTAATTTGTATAGTCAAATGATCGGGCGATTATAGTCACTAAAGAGAACCCTGGATTTAGTATGCGGTAAGTAGTAATTATACTGAAACAGTTCAGTTTTAAATACTTCTTTAGAGAACTCTGGAGCTGTCCAAGTTGTTACTCCGTGTTCATTAAAAAGAAAATGAAAATCTTTATATGTACACGTCTCTGTCCTATCCTTACATGTCATTTTATATCTATCCTATATGTACATGTATCTATATCTGTACCTGAGGAACCACGCTTCATATCAGGTCTAAAGGATGACATTGCAGTTGGACTCGGGGTTGTTCTCTTAAATCGATCATAGTTCCAACGACGATCTTCTGTAATAATTGTTCGATCTTCCAACCCGATCGTATGATCCTCTACGTTAGGTCCAGGATCTCCAGCGGAGCATTCTCGAGACCGTCTTCTGAGAAATACAAATGTCTTTAACTAACTATTACTTGGACCCCTGGCCTGACAACATAACGACTATTGGCACGCAAAAGCAGGAAGTTTTGGGATTTAAACAAATTTCAACTTTTGGAGGAATGTTCATTTGGAAATATTTATTTATATTTTTGTGCAAACGATATCTTCTGCAGAGACAATGGGATAAAAAGGTTTAGAGAGTACAATTATGAGTCTGGCAAGCCCTTTTTTAATTGGAAGGTCATTTGTAATTACAATTTCAGTCCCTTTAATAAGATAAAGAGATAAATGCAGAAAAATTAACATTCTCACTTTGTGGTTGACTTGAAATTCATTCAAACAAATCAAGCAAGACAATTATAGACATTCATTTTAAATGTCTTTCGATCGCAAAAGAACTGACTAAATTAAATAACTAGGCTTTTAGGGCACTTCGCGCCCATCTTCTATTTAAATTGTGAACATGTTCTTTTTGTTTAAATTTTAAAACAAAGAAAAAATTATGCGGATTTAAAAAAAAATTCGCGGATTTTCAAGAATTTAATTTTTTTTTACAAAATTAAAAACCTTTACAACACATTTATTTTTTATTTTTATCATTCATAAACCTTCCCTGTGGTCACGTGATGTCCCAAAAAAAATTTGGGCCTGATCGGTTCAGCCGTTTTGACGTTTATTGGATACAAACAAACAGACAGACACCAAAACAGACAGACAAGCCAAATTTATATAAATAATTGTAAAGGTTAACCTATTGATAAATGAGGTTGTGAGCAGAGGCTGTTCCTCAGGAACAGAGAATCCGTAGAAATCTTGAGGTCGGAGTCGAGGAGAAGGACAAGTGTGAGGTTGGTGGCTAATCCTTTCTGCAGACATAAACAAGTTTCTTATCATTCAAATCTTTACTTTTATATTCAACACCTTGGCAATATACTTGTACATTATTTTGTCTTAAAGTAGGAAAAGTTTCGGATCAATTTAGAATGAGAAGAGAAAGGTCAGAACTCTGTAAGTAATTGAACTCAAATTAAAGTACAAAGTTTTGAAGTGGTGATGAAAGAAAATTGGATTACTTTTTATTCTACCTTCTATATTTTCATCCACCTCTTCAGGGTAACAGTCATCCTCCTCGAATATTTTTATTTTTAACTTTAACTTTTTAAGTTTAAATTTAAATGTCCGAACCATGTGCACCCAAATCTATGTATTTCTTTAAAGAATTTTATAAAAATGTTTTCAGAAATATTTTAACCAAAAGTAAGAAAAAAAAGGAAGAAGTATGGCATTACATCGCTTAAAGAAATTATTTTTTCCCCAACAATTGACAAGAGGTTAAATTTTTTAAGAAGCCTTAAATTGTAATTAAAAATGATTATGACATTTTTTGGATAAATCTCTGACGTTCATGAAGGTAAGTCAATGCCCTCAGATAATAATAATTTTCTTGATAAAAATATTAAGCATGCAAACATAATGTCCGTCTTCACAGTGCAAAGTCAATTATGAAAGATGAATTCCTACCTGTGATTGATAATCTGAACTTAATTGAATATATTTGGGCCTCACTCTAGGCACTGGACCAACTCTTCTCTCGTCATGAATGACATAATCTTCCCTGGGATCAGTCTTCTTGTGATCAAGCAGTTGATCACTATCACAAGATATTTTAGGAGGATGTATTAATTGTTCATTAGCGGAGCAGAACCTTGAATTGGATTTCATTTGTTGATAAGTTCCCGAATGTATGGCAGGATGAGAGGCAACGGTACTAGGATTCACAAACTGATGACCTGCTGTGGCCCTAGTGGGAGACTGACTGGGACATGTCCTAACCGAAATGTCCTGAATAACCTGAGGAATGTACGAATCATTTGGTTGGATCCATAAACCAGGAAGAGGACTGTGTGGGGTTGTGTGTCCCGGACTGTCTGGAGATTGGTGAATAAACCTATAACTGGAGGAACCTGGATTTATCGAAGGACCTGGGTTATCTGACAACACATACCCAGAGGAAGACAGGGAGACGGAACTAAATAGAATTCAAAGTTTAATCTTGTCTTTTCATAAAATTGTCTTTTGCCGGGATTCTTTAATGAAGCTGTTCGAACATATCAGTAGATATAGAGAGAAAACAAATCATAATAATTACCTTGAATGTTTTGAGCCGATCTCTGGTGATGATGGAGGAGTTTCCAAGCTTCGAACATTTCTTCCAAACTTTCTAGGTAGCTCTGTAGAGGAAGGGGGAGTTGGCAGGTTCGGTACATTCAAATCCAGATACTCATCTAAACACAGAGAATTCAAATCCAGATACTCATCTAAACACAGAGAATTCAAATCTAAGTACTCATCTAAACACAGAGAATTCAAATAAAGTACTCGTCTAAACACAGAGAGTTCAAATCCAGATACTCGTCTAAACAAAGAGAATTCAAATCTAAGTACTCGTCTAAACACAGAGAATTCAAATCCAGATACTCATCTAAACACAGAGAATTCAAATCCAGATACTCGTCTAAACAAAGAGAATTCAAATCTAAGTACTCGTCTAAACAGAGAATTAAAATCTAGGTACTCGTCTAAACACAGCGAATTCAAATCCAGGTACTAGTCTTAACACAGCGAATTCAAATCCAGGTACTCGTTTAAACACAACAGATTCAAATCTAGGTACTCGTTTAAACACAACAGATTCAAATCTAGGTACTCGTTTAAACACAACGGATTCAAATCTAGGTACTCGTTTAAACACAATGGATTCAAATCTAGGTACTCGTCTGATCAAGTCTAGGTACTTGTTTAAAGACAGCAAATTCAAATCCAGGTACTCGTCTGAACACAGAGAATTCGAATCTAGGTCCTGTTTAAACACAGAGAATCAAAACAAAGTACTCGTCTCAACACAGGGAGTTAAAAGCTCGTCTAGAGACAGAAAACTCATGTTAGTCTAAATATTCAGAAAAGTTTAAATCCATTAACAAACCTGACAGTCAGAGTCAAGTTAAACTAGAAGCAATAAGCATGCTGTAAGTTACCATAAAAAGTACATTATTAGTTAAGAGTGAAGTTGCAAATCGAAAAAACTATTTTCCTTTTTCATAATTTTATCGTAGATTTTTCACCGATTAATTTTTTGGCAAATGTTGTTATTTCTTACATAACATATAATTGGAGACTAAAATGTTCAAATTACTAAAATTGTTCTTCCCCCCCCCCCCCTTTAAATGCTAGATGAGAATAAAGGGGGGGCAGGTTAAAAACAAACATTTTTTATATTTGACTACCTGGATGAGTTTGTTTATGCTGAGTATAAAGTTCAGAAACCAATTCCTCCCAACCAGGCCTATCCTCGGCCTTAAACAAGTCATGCAAACCATGGGCAAGTTAAAGGGATTGTTTATTGAAGATGAAAATTAATTAAACGGAGTGATCACATTCCAGAAAAGTCGAATTTGTTCGTTACTAATTTTACTTCTATATGTTACGTCTTTAAGTATAAAATATTCAGCCTTACCCCCCCAAGTGTACAAAGTTATTGTAATTTTAGGAATAAAGCACACGACTAAATTGTGAATTCCGTAAATTATTATTTTACAGTGCTTACATAAACGTAAAATATCTGATTCTGAAAAGTGTGTTGTTAAACTTTGGGATTCAATTTGACATTTGACAAATCAGTCCCAGACAATTTGGTCTCAATTATTACCTTAAATTTCCAACAACGCATCATGATATTGTAAACACTCTCTGGACACCCTTGAGGCTTCTCGTTTCTGTACCCATTCTAAACAACAAGAATCAAAGGGACTGTGGCTGAGTGTCTAATTATGAGGAACCATTTAATAAGAACGCATTAATTACAAGGAACTAATAAATGACTAATTATGAAGAACTAATAAGGACTCACTAATTATGAAGTACTTGTAAGGACGCATTAATTACGAGGAACTAATAAATGACTAATAATGAATAACTAATGAGGACACACTATTTATGAAGAACTAAAGAGCGCCACCCCACTCAGAGATCCTATATCTAGGTTCTCATCGTAGCTGTTCTCTTGTCCTCTTCACCTCCAGGATGGCACCGCTAGTCTTTATACTATTGTGATCTTTATCTTGTCCATTGCTTTCCTATCTCTTTTTTGCCTTATCTCTAGCGGTGTCCTTTTTCCAGATATATGCCAAGAATATCCTGAAGGCCTTCCTGTGTTATTACTGTATTACTTCTGGATCCTGCTTCCCTGGATCCTTCGCTTCTCTCTCTCTCTTCTGTGGCCGGTCCTGTGCGCGTTCGAGCTCCTTCTGCTCGTACCAGACCAGGCGGCTCCTCTCCTCCTTACTCCCTGTGTTCCTATCCTAGAAGTGGCCGGGTTACCTTTGCCTGGGCAGGACTAGGAGGACTTTCTCGACCGGAGCAGATACCAGAGGTGTGTAACTTGCGTGGTGGCAGCGTCGAACTCCCCACCGAGGACCACCCAACATCCAGCTTCGTCATGTCCCTTAAACTTAAGGCTCCTGACAAATTACCTGCAGATGGTGTGACAACCGTAGCGTTCAAGGCATGGAAAAACAACCTTTTCTCCTACCTTGAACAGGAGGTACCTATGAAACCTGGACCACACTTGATTCCTCCAGAAATCGTAAAAGAATAACTACAGCATCAGCCTCAGATCCTGATCACAAACGTCTCTTACGTCTTAGAGCATCAAATGCTGAATACACTCAAGATCATTATGATGAGGAGGTTCATGCCCTCATCCTCAGGAGAAATGCTCAACTCTCCAAATTCATCCAGTTAATCTGTGTAGTCTGCCACTACACAGAATCTGATGATATTTCCAGCTTATCCACGAGCACAGCATGGATAGTATCCTATCTCGAACAACACTACAACTTAGAGAAACGTGGTGCTCACTTTCTCAAAGTTAGTGAACATCATTATAAGAGCGGCACAAATTATCAAACCTTTTACAGGGAATTTAGAGCTGCCATCTATGATAACCTAAAAAAGCGAGGACATCAGATCCAGTATCAGAACAATCGGGAAATGGAATCTGATGAAACCATGTCACCAACATTCGAAGAAACCGTAGTCCTTTGGTGTCTTGAAAAAATTGATTCTCGCCTTCCCGCTCATGTCAATAAGACATTCGGCCATCAAATGACTGGCCATACTACTCTCAAGGACCTCCAAATACAGATCTTTCAACGTATTGGAGGTATGATCCAGGATCTTGATGACATTGAAGCCAACAGGGCTACAACAATCAATTACATCAATCCTGGACACCAATCTGAAGATAATGATCAGGTCGAGCTTGCAGCATACAAAGCTCAATCATTCCAGCGGGGACGTCAACCATTTCGCCCACATGGAAACAACTCATACCAGAGACGATCATGCCAGATCTGTCGGATCGCAGGAAGGCCCCCTGCCATAGTTTCGAGTCACTCCCAAGCCAACTGCAAGCTCAAAAATGCTATACTCAATGCAGCCTCTGTAGAGGACTCAGATCAATATGATTCCATCCCCTTCTCTTCACATGACGATGAAGAGGACCAAGGCGATGATCAATGACTAGATTACCAGGCATGCAACCCTCCTCCCCTCCTTAGCAGACTCACTCCCATCCCAAGCCAAATATTAACTCTGTTCTACAACAATCAACCATTTCACATCACTCTGGATTCAGGTGCTACAGTCTCCTTTATCAGGGAGGACATTGTCAAATCATACAACATCCCAGTCAAACCCAATGATCAACTTGCCCTCCTGGCAGATGACAAAACCCGAATGTCATCACTAGGGGAAGTTGACATCACCCTCACAAGAGGAAACATCTCAACAAAACTGAGAGCTCTTGTGATGACAAATCTCCAAGCACCATGCTTCGGAGGAACCACATTCCATTGGGATAATGACATACAACCTCAGATACATAAGCATCAAATAAAAATCCAAAACAAGAACATTCTTTTCCAATCTGATGAAAGGCTACCACTCCACACACCCTCCAACAGCATTCCCTCGGCCTCGCAACCTCCAAAACCTCATCCATCTTCAAACCACATCTTCCTCAAACTCAACCGCTCCATCATCCTTCCACCAGATGCCACCATTGAAATCCCCCTTGGTAAAAATCCAAGTCCGTCCTCCACACTCATAGCCATTCATCCAATTTCTGAGAACCCAAACCTTACTCCCCAGATTTCAAACCTCAACCAATCCTCTGTCACTTATACAAATCACTCCCCTCATCTACAACATCTGACAAAATCAACACAATTTCTTTGCATGCCTGCCTCGGTACAACACTCACAAGTACCCACTCAACTGATTACCAGAACTCATCACAATATATCGCTATCTGATCCCCTACCAATCCTTGAAAAGAATACAAATTCTTCTATTCTGAATCCAACTCAGATATCAGCCCTTACAGAGATCCACAAAACCAACTCCAAAGCATTTGACAACGATTTGTCAATAGGATATAATGCCAAAGCTGGTAGATACTTGGCCTCTCTTACCTTCAAACAGGACACACTACCTGAATCCAAGATCTGCCCTATACCTCTCTACAACAGCAAATGTGCTGCCCTACAACAGGCTGTCATGGACAACCTGGAGAGGCAAAACATTCTTGTTGATCCACAAACTCACAACATTCAAGTTAGAAAAATATCTCCTTCCTTCATCTTGCAGAAAGGAAGGGCCAAACATAAAAAACTTGAAGATTGTAGCGTTGATGAACTGAGATGGGTCGTTGCTTTTAACAACCTCAATGACAGTCTTCTTCCAAAACCTTCAAAGCCGACCTCATCCAAAAACATTCTGTCTTTCCTTGCAAAACACAAATACCACATATTCGCTGACCTTCACAACTCATACTTTCAAATACCAATTGCCAAAAGAGATTGGCAATGGATGGGTGTTCGAACCCCATTCAAAGGTATCAGAGTTCTCACAAGAGCAGGACAGGGTCTTCTGAACTCTGAACATGATCTGGATGAACTTATATCCAGGATTCGCGGTGTCCTTTTTCCAGATATATGCCAAGAAGATCCTGAAGGCCTTCCTGTGTTATCACTGTATTATTGCTATATTCTTCTGGATCCTCTTTCCCTGGATCCTTCTCTTCTCTCTTTCTCTTCTGTGGCCGGTCCTGTGCGCGTTCGAGCTCCTTCTGCTCGTACCAGACCAGGCGGCTCCTCTCCTCCTTACTCCCTGTGATCCTATCTTACACATTACTTTGTAAATCGTACACTGTACACATTACAAGGTGAATTACAAACCGTAGACATTCCTACACATTACTGTGTTAAATGTAGACTGTACAGTGTACACATTACTGTGTGAAATGCACACTGTACAGTTCACACATTACTGTGTGAAATGTACACTGTACACTGTACTTATAACTATTTGAAATGTACACCGTGCACATTACTGTAAAATGTACTCTTTACAACTATATCAGTATTTAAAAGGTTTGCTGTACACTTTTTAATGTAATCTTTACAATTATATTATTATTTAGAATGTTTGCTGTACACTTAACACTGTAAAATGTACACTTTACAATTTTATTAATATTTAGAATGTTTGCTGCACACTTAACATTGTTTAATGTACACTTTACAATTATATTAGTATTTAGAATGTTTGCTGTACAGTTAACACTGTTTAATGTACTCTTTACAACTATATTAGTATTTAGAATGTTTGCCGTACACTTAACACTGTTTAATGTACTCTTTACAACTATATTAGTATTTAGAATGTTTGCTGTACACTTAACACTGTATGATGTACTCTTTACAACTATCTTAGTATTTAAAAGGTTTGCTGTACACTTAACACTGTTTAATATACTCTTTACAACTATATTAGTATTTAGAATGTTTGCTGTATACTTAACACTGTTTAATGTACTCTTTACCCCTATTAGTATTTATAAGTTCTGCTGTACACTTCACACTGTTTACTGTACAGGTGCAGCAAGATGGAGGAGAAAAAGATTTTAATAAACTCCCGCAACTTCACCTTCCACTCACTAGACCTCAGGATCAAGGTACATTATTTATTCTTACATATTCATCCTTTCAAGTTTCTTTTAGCCTTTTATTTATCCTTGGTTCTTTTTATTAACTCATTAGTTTATGATTTATTCATTTATCTATCTTTACATCCTTTCTTTTCTACTTCCAATTGCACAAATTCAAAATATTGCTGTTTTCATATAATATAGTATTTTTGGAAATTATTAGGTTTATTTTGACTTTTGTATTTGTAATTATATTCAGTACTAAAAACTCTTGAATAGAAAAGACTTTCACACTCAAATCCACGTCAGACACAGTAATTGTGCAGTGTAAACAGATTCATCTCTGAATAAATTATTTAATAAGTTACTAGTGAACTATTTGCTTTTTAAAACATCAAACACATTGCTTTATTTTCGTCTTCCCTTTCCACAGTTTTTGGGTTCTCATTTTCTCATTTTTCCAAGTAACATGTTTCAAGAGATTTGTTTCCCCAATATGTGTCATTTTTACATAACATGTCTAATACAGTACAACACACCTGTCAAACCCAAACATATTATAGAATAAACCTTAACATTTTGTTCCGAATATCGAAGTTACGAACATTTTGTTCAATGCTACGAACAGGATTGTTGAAAAATGTTAGTAACCTTATTATTCTGTAGGAAATGTTTAACTATTTTTAATCCTAATTTCAGTAAATTCCAATTTAATTACAAAATGTTGGGTTTCTTATTAGAGGTTGAAGGGACTGTAAGCGTTA